CTGTGTGGATGGCGCCCCCCCCCCCTGCAGCTGGCATGTTCATGACATGCCATGTTAATATTAGCAAAGAATCCATTCAGGCAGCCCTCTGCTAAGCCCAAAAGCCAGGGCTGGAGTCAGGAGGCAGCAGAAGTGTTTGGGTACCACAGAGCAGAGGCAAAGAGGTTGGCATGACACTTGCCTGGGCACACGAGGGGATACTCCCTGTGGGTGAATCATGCAAGGCAGCGTTGCATTCAGGATCCACAGGTGTTGACGTCCTCCATGGGTGCAGCCTGTCTTTTCCTGTTCCATGGACAGAGGGCAGGAGAGCTGGGTTAGCTCCCCATCCTGGGACCCAAGGATCAGGGCAGGGAGACAGGGCAGAGCACCTGGGAGGGCCCTGACTGAAAAGCCAAACCCAGATGAAGGGAGCAAGGGGACGTGGTGTTGCTGGAGCCCTGGGCGGTTGGGAAGTACTGGTCTCCTCTTGGAGCAGGCCGTGTGGGGACTGGGATGTTGCCACCAGGATGGGGCACTGCAGGGAGCAGAATGGTAGGGGCAGGTTGAGGTGGAAGAAGCGACTGGCTTCAAACCAATACACTCCTGAGGTGAGGGCAGCTCAGCAAAGCGCCGCTCTCGTGAGCGAAGTAGAGGTGGCTGCTCCAGCGCCAGAGCTGGGGAGGAGCCCACGCGCCAGCTCTCGCCCCCCCCGCCCCCTCCTGCCGCTGACGCGGCTGTCTCTCCTCTGCAGTGCTGGGCCGAGTGCTGGAGGTGACAGACCTGCCCGAGGGCATCACACGGACAGAGGCCGACAAGCTCTTCACCCAGCTCGCCATGGCTGGTGCCAAAATCCAGTGGCTCAAAGAGACTCAGGGGCGCTGTGGAGACGGAGGCGGCGGGGACAACAGCGGGACTCCGGAGAACGGCAGGCACAGTGACCTCGCTGCCTTATACACCATCGTGGCCGTGTTCCCCAGCCCGCTGGCTGCCCAGAACGCCTCCCTCCGCCTCAACAACTCCCTCAGCCGCTTCAAGCTGCGTGTGGCCAAAAAGAACTACGACTTGCGGGTGCTGGAGCGTGCCAGCTCACAGTAGGGCTCACGCGTGGGCACAGAGCACACTGGACTGTGGGCACTTTCCTCTACCTTCTTTTCCTTTCTGCCCTCCCTTCCTCTCGCCCTCCTTCCTGGATATATTTATATGGACATAATTAAGAGACAAGAAATTGATTTTTTTTTTTTTAATTATTATTATTTTTGGAGTGATGCCCATGCCCGCCCACCTTACCCTGTGTATATTGTTTTGTTAAGCACTGTGTTGAACCGCACATACAGGTGTTGATTGCTATGTTCACTGCACATTTTATTTAATCTGATTATCATTTGGAGGGTATTTTTTGTTTTATTTTATTTGGGGGGTTGTTTTTAAATATAAAAAGAAAACTTGTCCATCACTTTAACGCTGCTTTCCCATTCTCTGCCAGTCCCAGTGCTCGGGGCTGTTCGTGTTGCTTCTTCTGGGTGACACGACAGCCAGGGAGCAGAAGGGGCACTCGCAGGAGGATGTGTTCCTGCCCAGGTCTTGCCTCCATGCTTGGCATGTACAAGTGCTGTGAGCTCTTGGCTTGCTAAGACTGGGAGAGGAGTGCTAAGCACTTTGACCTGGGGCTAGTCCGTGTCCCTCCCCCCCCCCAGATGTTCATAGCCTCTTTTCCCAGCTGCTGACCCCATGCAGCTGTGCAATGGCAAGAACGGGAGAGTGGTGTGACCCCGGTTGTATCCACTACCAGGAAACAACATACTACTCCTGGTTACAGGGGAGCAGCCCTTGAGCTGATGATAGGTGCAGGTATCACTGTGTTCTCCTGCCCCGTGGGTACAGGAGTTGGGCTGGTACCACCCTCACCATGGCATTGCACACAGCAGCTGGAGCCTCTTGCAGCATCTGGATGCTACCTTCAAAAGCAAGTGCAAGTGGAGAGGTAAGAGCTGCCTGGAAGGGGTGGGCTCCAGCCCCAGCCTTAGTTCAAACTCCTGCCCCGCTGCCACCCACAGCCTGGCAGGGACATGGGTCCAGGGACTCCAGCACTGGGGTGCCTGTCCAGCTCCAGGGACCCGGCACCCACTGCAGGGCAGCACGATAGCAGTGGGGTCCCCAGCTCCCCTCTGCGACAGCTCTCTGTCTCAGTGGAGAGCAGACCAGCAGGATTCGCTGCCGGAGGGTACGGAGCAGCCGCGAGAGCTGCCCCATGAGACCCCACTGCTAAAAAAAAAGCCACTCTTCCCCTTTCCCCTCCCCACTGCAGGCGCCTCCAATGCGAGAGCAAACAAGACGTGTGCAAATGCGAGAGCAAACAAGTGTGCCCCAGCACTGCTGCTGCCCTGTGCCAGGGGGTGGGTGGGCTCTGGCACGCCCAGCAACGCACTAACGCAAATAGCCAGTGGCTCCTCTCCGCCCCGCTCCCCTCCGGGCTCATGCGTGGGCTCCAATTTCTCCGTGTCAGCCTCCGCCCGCGCTCAGCTGTCGGTTCCCCTCTGGCCTGTCACTCCTCCG